TTTAAAAAGGAGCTGTTTTTTCTTTGGTATCTTGTACTCTATATCCCATTCTGAATTAAAAGTCTTAAAGAATAGCTAAAAGAGAATCTTAAATAAAAAGGATTTATTTAATCAAACTTTTCCCTCACCACTTTCTCTATCTATTTGTTAAGAAAACCAATGAAGGCCTCCGATTTTGTATAAATTATTATATTTGAACAACTTGTTGGTTAAAAATCGATATCCCTTATTATTAATAAAAAAATCTTTAAACAATTTGAAAGGAATGAAGTATTTTAATAAGATCGATATTATCTTTGCTTTTAATAATATAAAAATAAAAGAAGGACAGGAATATCTGACTATATTCTATATCTGATTCAGACTGTTCGAATTTTTAATTATACTGTTTGGGCTAATAGAGGTTTTTACAATTTTCTAGAGGTTTATTAATGATTCCCTATAGGGATAATCTGGATGTATTTTGTTACCACTTATTTGAATGACATTCTGATATATAGTCAAACTCGAAAGGAATATGTTTGCTATATTTAGAAGAATTCTACAAATACTAAGGAAAACTGATTTATTACTAAATTCGAAAAAGTACAAATTCCTGAAATCCAAAATCAAGTTTTTAGATTTATTGTAGAAAGTAATGGTATTTTGAATGGATTTTAAAGAAAATCCAAATAATTGTAGATTGAAAATTGCTTGTTAGTGTAATTGATGTTTAAGTATTTATTAAATTTTCGAATTTTTATTGATAATTTATTAAAGATTTTTTGAAGATTATTAATTCGATAATAAATCTAATTAGAAAGAATATTCTGTTTTTATAAAGCTTTATTTATCAAAAAATATTCAACCAATTGAAACAAGTATTTATTAAAACATTTATTCTGGTTTTCTTTAATTAGGAAAAGGAAGTGATTGTAGAAATCGATATCTTTGATTATATATCTATTGGAATATTTTTCTAATATAATAATAATGGAATATTTAAATCTATTATATTCTTTTTTAAAAAATACTTGGTAGTTAAATATAATTATAAGATTTATAATAAAGAATTATTAGTTATTATCTATTACTTTAAAGAATAGCATCCCGAATTGGAAGATACTACATTATTAATTCAAATAATCATTAATTATAGAAATCTGAAATACTTTATTATAATAAAATTATTGAATTGTTATTAAGTCTATTAATTCAAATTTTTATTTCGATTTAATTTTTAAATTATTTATCGTTTTGGAAAGCTAGATATCAAATTCGATATACTAACCAGAAAATCAAAAGATCTCCTTAAGAAAAGGAATAAATACCTTTTATATCAAAACTATATTATCCTGAAACAAAAGAATCTGAATCCTGATCTGTTTTTTATTATTATTATTCTAATCGAATTCAAAATTACTAAAAGAGTATGCTTTATTGTAATTATCTATAGTCAAAGAAACCCTAACTCTACTGATATTATCAACTACTTGGATTCTGATGATACTGTAATTTTGTTAGAAAATAATAAAGTTATAGAGTTTGCAATTCTATGTACCTATATTTATATCTAATCTTGTGATCTAATTAGAGAATCTAGAAAATCTTTTAAATCTTTTTATCGATCTGCTTATTCTATTCCACAAAGACTATCAAGCCGACTCTATACTCGAATCTATTCTGAAATCCTTATAAAAGAGATTCTCAAAATATCCGAAAATTATTCTTATTAAGTGTATCGAAAACAACAATCTGTTATATTATTAAGGAAAATTATATATTCCTGATTATAATCCCCTAAAAACCTATTTGCTTTATTTATATTACGAATTGTCTGTTACTAATTATTTATACTATATTCGAATCTTTTGAATTATTATTCTGAAATTATTATTGGCCTGGATATTATAATTATATTATATAGTAGATCTGTAATTATTATAATTACTATCACACTATCCCGAATTGCAAAAGCCAAAAGGGAATTCTCTATTCGCTCCTAATTCTGTAAAAAGCTTGGTAAGATATTTTCAATAGATTTTATTATATATCTATTTAAAAGTACTGGTTTGATATTATTATAATAATAATCGATTGATTTACGAAATGTAACAATTTCGTGTTTTGTGTATGGGTATCTATAATTCCAAAAAGGTTATTTGTTTATTCTAAAAGAATATCTAAAAGCTTTATAATTTATTTTAATTATTATATCTAATTATAAAGCTCAATTTCGTTTCTGAATTCTGGAAATATATCTATAAGCATTTAGATATAGTCACTAAGTTTCAATTGTTTATTATTTTGAAACTAATGGATAAACTGAGAGGGCTAATGTAATACTAAAACAATACCTCCAATGTATATAGTCTATCTATAAAACGATTGGGTAGAATAACTTCTATTTTGCCGAATTCTTTATCAATAATATTTAGTTTGAAAGTATCCAAATGATCTTGTTTTTCTTGAATTACAGATTCCATTTCTATCTAAGCTTTAAGTTTATATTATTCCAAAATAATTGTTTTATTATATAAATGCAAAAGAATTTGTTATTAAAATAAAAGCTATTTCCTCATATCTACAAATCAAACTAATTATTAATCAAGTTCGATACTTGAAGAATACCGATACCCGCTGTTCCCCTATTTATAGATATCTGCCTAGTAACCTGATCTGGTTGAATATCAGAAATATCAAGATTCTGTATTCACAAAAAAAACTTGATTAGAAAAATCTTAGGTTCTTTAAAATCCTGAATTTGATAACTCTTATATCTATAAACTAGAACTCCCAGCCTCAATAAGATTCATTCTGTTTTCTATATCAATCTATTATATCCTATACACGATAATTTTATTCCTGGATAATATAATCTGCCACCATCCCTTATAGAAGTAAACAACCTCAAGCATTTTGAGGTTACCAAAATCCTAAACTTCCACTGGAAAAGAAGAGGTCATAAAGAACTTCATTTTGAAATATACTATCCATTAAATCAGCTATAATATATCAACCGAGAAATCTACAAGCTATTTGAAAGATATACAAAAACTGATTTACAATTTCTATCAAAGATATTCTAATAAATTAGAATTCGTTTAATCAAATACTATCTATTTCCAAATAATCAAATTATAATATCTTTGTTTTAATAAAGTTTAGTTTTTAGAAAAGAGATAATGTTATAATATAAGATTATATGACATATTGGTTCTTTTGGAGGAAATCAAATTGAATGCTTGTGTTGGAGTGCAAATGAGCTAGGGCCTGATCGGGCTAGTTCGCTTAACAAAATCCTATATATCTTTAACTTGGAAGATTCTGTATTATAGCTTTTTGAGCTATATCTTAATCCTCAATCTGAATCTATTATTCGAATCAGTATAATCTTGCCAGATTAGAGCAAAGTTATTAGAACCCTATCCAGCCCGCCTGCCCTGTGATATTATTATACAAATTAAAAAATCGATATTTTAAAACTCTAAATCTCAATACAAAAAAATCCTAAAAATCTAAAAATTTTAAAATAAGTTCAAAACAATCTAAATTATATATATATAAATTTTCAATAAATTCTATATATAAATAAGAAAATTAGAAATTCTATTTTTGAGATTTTTGGTAATAAAGAGTGGCCCAAAACAGGGGTGACCAGAAAGTAGGGTACCCGACTTATCAAGTTGACAGTACGATGGAAACTTACAGATTTGTTATAGTAAGATCTCTTTATAAGGATATATTTTTTAGTCCTCAAAGTTTTAGGGCCTACAAAGAGTCTATATTCTTAAAACTCTTTTATTAGAATATCCTTATATTTTTCTATCCTGGGATCATATGTATATCCTCATTAAACTAATAAAATCAATAGTATCTAACATATTTTTTTTTATTTTTTTTTTATATTAATTAACGTCTGTTTTGGACCTCCCTAAGGGTATTTAGACGTGCTAAGATAAGGAACTATTTGAGCGGCGTGATCGTCGCGACCGAATTTAGCAATTTAACTTCAATGCCAGGGGCTATTCGCTCCTCTGCGGATAGTATCTAACATAATACAATAGACTTTCATTATTTCAATAAATTATAATAAAAGTTACAAAATTATCACAGAATATAATCTAATCAGGACTAATTGAAAGTAAATCACTATTAAGTCAGGATTTATCGGATACCTCTCTACACCCTTAAAAACAACTAAAAAAAACGATATCCTTATAAAGCGATTTTATCACACAATCGTGAAACTCAAAATCTGTCAACAACGATGATTTATCAGCAAATCTGACAAATGCGGGGATAGGTTTGACCGCTGGCAACCCGCCAAGACGGGAAAGTGGGCTTCACAACCTCATCTCAAGTTTAGTAATTAAATCTCGGGGTTTTGATGCTCTCATGCCCCTTCATCTTCTATGTCCTATATCCTATCTCCTGCTTACGTAACTCCTTTGGTCTTTGTTTTCGTGCTTTACTGGACGTATATTAAGCTGTTATTTAAACCTAAAACTCTACTTTTACTTGAATGCCTAATTTCAAGATACTGATAACTTATTGACTTCTTGATAGTCTCAATATGCGGTCCAGTAGAGGGAGAATTGGGTAGGTACTACCTATCGAAGCTAACATCTAATCCATCTCGAACGCTTGAACACATTGTCAAATGAGGGATGGGGCTAGATTCCAGGTTGTCTAAGATTGAAAGCTGGAATACATCAAGCAACTGAATATATTTGAATAACTGATTAGACTGAAGGGCTGACAACACCAAACTTCTAGCATGACATACTTATAATCTTCTAGACACAGTCAATAGAACACTGGTATAGAATGACCTTCTATTGAACACTCACAAATATGAAAGACGCAATGGTTCATGAATACTTTGGTGTGCGTATATGAATCATTAGGCTAGTATCAAGAATCCATAGAATAAACAATGTGACAAAATGCAAATTATGCGCAAATATCCTTCATACCAAGCTCAAATTCTCAATCTTGTTGTCCTTCAAACATTTCCTTCACCCCTTCGTACCTATTAAGCAAGCTTCCATCAGGATGACAATTAACGTGTAAAATGAGAATCTCATTTCCAGCTTATTATAAGCAACTTCTATCGGTCTCTGAGCCCAGAAATATGAGTCCGGCATCGAATTTTGCAAATTTTTCGGAGGCGAAACTATGACCTTTTCCATCTGCTCCCCAACATAGATACTGCCCGAGCCCGAAACCCAAGTGATATAAGCCAGGTTGACGTCGACTTTTTTCCAAAAGTTCGGATTGCGCTCCACTTCCTGGTAATATAATGATTTCGTTTGTTGGGCATCACGGATACTTGTTCGAAGATCCCGAGCCAGATCCTTCACCTTCAATCGCTGCCTGACCTTCAAAGAATTATGAGCATATAACCCTGTTGTACGGGTGTACTCATCTTGAAAAGAAAGTTGACAGCCATATGTGACTCCATCAACAAATTCCGCATTGATTGGTAAAATATGTGGAACTGGTTGTTGGTCTGAACCCCAGTGAACGTTCTCCATTGATTCTTGATGGAGGATGAAATCAAGATGCTTTAGACACGGGCATCTAGTTTCGAGTAGTTCCCATATAATTCTTTTTCCTCCGTAATATCGTTTCGCTCTTGGCCTGGAGAGGGCGTGCTGCACAGCAATGCTCTGAATTAAAGACAGATCCAAAGTAGTATGATTCCAACTCCAAAGCAAACCCGTTACCTTGCGAAAGTTTTCTATCATCAATGTACTCTGACGAAAGTTCATGTATCCTTTGCGGTCAACCCGAATCTCACAATCCGCAGTCTTCCTGCTACGAGGTCTTACAATCCGTAAATTGAGATCACATCTCTGGACTGGAACGCTCATGTTCATCTCGGAATAGTTTCTCAAAAGAGCCAAGTGTGATTCTTGACAGGCATAGAGTAAAGCTATCGGAACTTTTGAAGCAATGGGACCATGTTGTCGTACATGACAGGATAATCTTACCAGATGATTTGGGTCACCTCTGGTAGGCCTGCGATATCTTCGGTTGACAGTAAGTTTTGACACCTCGAGGATCGCAGCGTAAAGCACAGTCCCAAATCATGTATCGAAGTTCAATAGGAAGTTTAGGGAATAGGGTGAACGAATCTAAAATTGGAACGATAGCGCAAGAATCCGTGGGCCAGGATATTTGAATACCAGTTGTTGGAAGATCGTGATAAAACTTAATCTCAGAGATTTGCCATGTTTCTGAACCTGTTAGTAAACGATGATTATCTTTGTGTGTAACTCACTTGGACAGTATATAAGTCGATTTCCAAGCAAAATCTGCTTCTCTTGGACGTCGTCTTTTGGCTTGAACTTGAAACCAGGCTGATCATTTTTTACTTCGTCCCGCCATCCTATTCTTAATGGTGCAGACTTTTGCTTTACAAAAACATATCTTGATCGATCTGGAATTCTGGAAATACCTCCTGTAGGATACTGGGCATATTCCTCTACAGTCGAAGTAGGTGTCACGAACAGACCATTCAATCCATGCCAATTGAAGAATTCATCGTCAAAGGAAGGTTGATCCATGGCGTTGAGCACTTTCGGTCTCTGCTTCAAGGTCTCCGATAGTTTTCCACGATTCGAAATTCGTTGGCTGAAAGTTGTTGACCTTTAAAAATTGAGGAAGAATATGAGAACGAGATTCCTCAGAACGTGCAGAAACTTGCTGTGGCAGTACCAGATAGATGAGTGAGTACTGTTACCCTCACGGCCCCCGATCCTACAGCTCAAATGTACAGTTGGTAGCTGAAGAGGTATTTCGTCCATGATTCAAAGTTTCAGATGCCCTATATGCTTACGGCCCACGTTCCTCTTATGATTTCACCTATTGCGGTATTCATACAGTCTTGCGGTCACTGTATCAGACGATAGAAAGCTTGCGTTGATATATTTCAAAATTCACTAGTTAGCTTAGTAAGCCAGAACGCCTATAAGAGTTCTCTCTTCCATTGATTCAAGACGGTGATGACCGTATAGTATGCACATTGTACTACTCATATACGTTCAATAGTTTATACCTATAGGAGATCTGGGACTAGAATCTTGAAACAATACAGTCAAGGTCAAATTACTGACTCTAATACCCTGGAGACATGGAAGTTTCTAGCTAATACTTGCGACGACATGCCGTACTTATCATTCTCCTAGAATTCTTTTCCAAATCTATGTAAATTACTTGCAGCGTTTATATGGCAGAGGTGAATATCGTTGAACCGAAAATCTTTCAGTATTCCTGCCGCATTGTAGATATCGATAAAGCTGACGGTATGCCCAAAATTGCCAAATGGATTGACCAGGGGCTTTGGAAAAATAGCGCCGTTGAAAGAATCTGTGGTTGATATCTTAGCAAGAAATCACATTGGAGTTGCTCGCAATTTAGCATGTCATGTCTTTGAGACGTTCTGACTGTTTCATCCTCAAATAAAATACGAAATCCAACAGGATCATTCACTCCCCTCAGATTCACGGTATAGGTACACAAGTAACCTTCAACTCGAAAACAAACAACATAGTGCAGTGGTCAAGCCATCGACTTCTACTTTCCATCAGATCTCAAAAAGCTTCATTGTAACTAACATGTTATATAGAGTTTTCGAAATCGCAAGTGTTCGCCGGCCTATGGTTCGTGGAGTACCCACGAAACCTAAGGTAGACCATGTGACCCTCACTAATGATATGGCTCGGCATAGTGTACAAAATGGTTACTGGGGCATCTTGAATGAGATTAGATGATGTGGAAATCGAAAGTGGGCCCGCTGGAGATAGTAAATTGTTGTTTCATTTGTGTTGATGGTTTGAGCACTCACTATATTTTTTGTGCTTTTTTGGAGCGCTCAAAAATTGTTAGGATGGTGTTTTTCAGAATCGCATTTTCATTGCAGTTCCCTCTGATCATATGTACTTTCCACCTTTTTTCAATTCGTCAACACTTCCCTCAAGCCCGAACGCAACGTGCCGAGGAGAATCATCAGAACCTCTCTTCTCGGGACCATGTTGTGATACCAACGGTCCAACCTTAACTTTGTGTTTTTGATACTTTTAGGCAATGGATCAGATCCCAAAGACTTCTCTCTTGCCAAGATGTCCAAGTCTGCATTCCTTGTTATAAGCATGATGGCGGAGAAGGAGTTTGAATGTGAAACGCCATTAACATGCATTGAGTAAAAACCAATTGCACCACAAAGGCTTGCCAGGAAAAACCCGATACTATAGGAAAGAACGAGGTAGAGCGGATGATAGACGTAGACGTTCCTAGTGTCTGAAGTGGTGACATTTGCATATTCCGTGCTGCTGCTAGTGAGATCAGGAGAACCAAGATAACCTATGGTGATATTGATGGAAAGATCCTCGATTGCTCTCATGAAGGTTCGATTGCGACACTGCCATGGCTCGATTTTAAAAATCTCCTCAATGGGCCTTGGAGAAAGGGAATCTGGAGGTAATAGGGACTCGAATGGTGAAGCCTGTATGTCGTCGCATGCGGTAAATAGACGGAGGAGAGGATTGTCGATCAAATAAGGGACCCAAACCGCGCGATCGATGCCCGACACTCTCCTCTGTAACGAGATATTTCCTGACAACACTCTCGCGAAATTATCAAATTGATAATAATCCACCAAACAGCTGGGTGATCCATCACACAAAGGTATTTCATTCACGTAATGGGTGCTGTGTTGCGTAATTTCTTGGTCGCCATAGGCAGAAGCGATTATAACAGCAATAGAGGCATTCATGACTGTACCCTGTGGTGGCAAAGTTAATACCTATATACGAATAAAATATTAGTATAAATTCCTATATAAATATTTAATATATATATTATTGAATTGAAACCTTTTTATCCCTAACAAATTATATACTTCATCATCAATAAATATAATCGGCTCAAATTGGGATCCGTTTATTATTGAATTTTTTTTTAAAAAAAAAAAGAATTTAGAAAAACCTTTAGAGTTTTTAAATGTTGAATATTAAAGTTATAGAAAAAAATGAACGGAAGGATATATATACAGAAACTAAGAGAAAATCAAAGAGGCATATAGAAGTTAAGCAAGACCCTAAACTCCGATTCGGGTATGCAGACGACATCTGTCTATACCGATTATCGGCAAGCGTTCAACAAAACATTACAATGTTAGCAAGAAATATGAAAAGCATATTCTATTAAGAAACTAGGAATAAAATAATCTTTGTATTTGAAAAGATAAAGATGATCTATATAATATAATACAAGCATTCCATTAATCCGGTATGCGAAATAAACCGCGATTACACCATCTCTCCAATCACACCAGGATCGGCTTTACAATAGCTAAGCGTATGATTTGATTGCAAGCTTACATTCAAACAGTATATCAAAACGCAAGCAACCAAAGGCCGGAAATTGGCTCATCACATTCAAAGGCTAGCCCGGATTACAAACAGACCCCCAGCAGCATCCTTACAGAAAGTAGTGATCACTTGTTTATACCTAGTCCTATTCTATAGGGTAGAGGTATGGTATATAGGACAAACAAAAATCACTGGATAGCACTAAGACGGGATATTAGTAATAGTAAGCATCCAATTAGGAGAAGCGATTCTAGCTATTAATAAGATTCTACAATAGTAATTAGAGAAGTCCTTTTAGTTTAATGAATAATCCCGAATATAGTGATAATGAGGGATAGTGCTCTCCTATTAGTAGAAGTGGTACTAGAACAAATAAAATGGAGAACAGCTTTTTGTGTTTAAACTATTGATTCAAAATACTCTTTTTATTATTGAGGGATAAAAGCCACCTATTCCTTTAATAACAGGGAAGATCAATTGCAGTTAATTAGATAAAGATCCAGGTGATCAGTTAGTGTCTTTCCCAAATCAAGGAAACAATTTTAAATAGAATCTTATTATATATTAGGATATCGAACAGATCCTATTAAAGGTTTTATGAAAAGTAATAGCAACAGTAGTTTCAGGAATAGTAGAATAAGTGCATATATAATCAAATCACTATATTTTCTAATGATGAAACAAAACCGATAAGAATAATAGACAAATAGAATATGGATATATTGTATATAAAGAACAAACAATAGTATGCAAAGGAAACAATAAATTACATTACAATTCTTATATATTCAATATAAAAGCAATCGGGGCATAACTAAAGCCTTCAAGCAGTAATCAGAAATATTATTGGTATAAAACAAATGGAAATCTGTATATATATTGATAGTATATTAGTGATATAAGGAATAAAAGATATAGCTTTTATTATATTACAATGGGCTTTCTTAAATATTACGAATTGATGTAAATATATTTAATCTAAATCAAATAATCATTAGGTCATATAGGGATTAAAGAGAATAAGTGTATGGATGTATTTGCTGATAAAGGGATAAGAAAATCAATCTTAGGGTATACGAATCGACCTATAGCGAGTAGTATCCGTTTTATAGCAAAAAACTGCTATGGAATTAGTAGTACAGATATGATGGATTAAACAGAAACCAACACTCTTCAAACAATACCAGAAATGGAATCCAAGGAGTATAAACAAATACCCTAATGAATTAGAATTCTTACAAACTATTCTCTACTGTATACTAAACAATCCACTTAGTATATAGCGATTTCGAAAACTATCACCAACGATTTAAATACAAGGAAGTAATAATCCATTGCTTATGTAGTGTATACAAATCCCCCAAGCATATTGTATACTACCACAAAGTCCTTGTAATCTATAAAACCTAGCTCTCAGATATCAAACTCAAATATCCATTCTGTAATTAGATGGTTCAAAAACGATTATTGAAATAGTTAATGTATATATCAGTCAAGTTGCTGAATTTATTATTATAACAGATTTTTATAGGAGTATATATTCTAGAACACTATCAGAAGAATAGGAAGAGGAAATGGAACTGGATTAACTAATCCGGGTGAATACAAATATAAAATAGAAGGCAATTGATATAGTAAGGTTATAAAGAATAAAATCAATATATGCAATACACTATACTATACTAGAATATATACAAAAACTATCCTTATAGGATAAAGCAGCTTTCAATTAAAATATTATATAAAAGATCGGAAAGCGTATACAGAGGTGTTCAGAGGATTGGAGACAAAAGTGTAAGCGTGCTAGCTATCGCTTGGGAGGCTATTGAAGGTATTGAGACCCCACTTTTAGGAGAGGGGGATCATATAAATTAGAGATTATCCCGCAGTTAGCCCAATCGTAATGCCCCCTGGGAGGTTCGCCTATACGGCCCGGTTGAAAATTACTAATAATAATAATAATAATAATATAGAAGTTAAGAGGAGTGATATTACGGGAGCTGCCTCTAGGGTCACATGGAAGTGGCTAGAGATCTCTTGAGGTGGTTTAGACTAAACTTCAAATAGGAATTCAATAAGATTGTAACTGATTACAATTCTCATAATTATAGTAATAAAACTAATGATTATTTTTGAATATAAAGCTTTATATTATAAATAAAACTCATTTCCTTATATAGATCTTCATCTTATTTGGATAGCTAGAACAATCAGTCGCTTTGGAAGTTGTTGTTTTTGAACTGTCCATTATAGAACACTAATCTCATAACTCTTGGTATCCTAGCTTATTCTTTTGTTTTAAAACTAATCCTTTAGAATATTATTAATTCTAGTAAAGTCTTCTTACTTATTATATTCTATCTTTCCTAAAACCTACTATTCTGAAAACTATATTCTAAAGTTTCTAGAATATTTTATGACTAATACTATATACATATCTGAGGCTTTTCTTGGGTGCTTAGTATCCCTTGGTATACTGCAGCTGAATCACTAAGGCCTATAATATCATTATAGCCTATAAGTTGGTAATTCTATAGTCTATTATTAATCCATTGTAATACTATTCTTTTCTTAATCTAATACTTATTCCAAGTATTTATATTAGTATGTTTTTCCTTTTATATACTTTAATGATTGTAGTATTCCCTTTTTCATTATGCCTCCTCTAAATATTAATAAAAGAAAAGAACAAATCCGTTTTATTTATCTTATTAAATAAAAAGGTTTCGAAATACTATTATACTCATTATACAAGTATATTAATCGCAAATATATTATTTCGCTCTCTAATTCTTTATGATATAATGAATATATTTGTAATAGTAAAAAATACAATATTCAAAGTTTATTTGAAAGTGATTAGGAAAGTTTGTTCTAATAAAAGGAAAGGTTGGATAAGAAGAGAAAGAAGCTATAGCTAAAATCCTGTGATTGTAAAAGTAGAAACGTTTTCTATTAAAATGTGAGTCTGAGATACTGTCACGGATCACCTCTGGGAGTATTCAGAAGCTTTACCGCTGAGCTAAACGCCCAAAAGACTAGGAGGTAGAACTGGAAGTTCTACCTTACTCTCACATATATAGCAGGACAGGACAGGACAGAAAGGGCTTAGTGTCACCCCGTGACAACTTCCACTATAAATACCCTAACAAACCCGGTCCCGCTTAATCAAACTCTGTTTGCCTATAGATTATAAACTGTGATATACTGCTTTAACGAAGCTCAACCCTTAGAAGAAAGATAATATCACGATATAAGCTTATATAATATACTAATTCTATCGGAAAGAATCGAAAGGAGCACTCGCACCAGAACACAAGCGAGCTAGAGTCTGATCAGATTAGTTTGTTATAAAAATTCTGTATATCTTTAATTCAAAAGATTCTGTATTGTAGCTCTTTGAGCTACATCTTAATCCTCAATCTGAATCTATTGTCTGAACCAATATAACTTTGCCAGATTAGGGCAAAGTTATTAGAACCCTATCCCGCCCGCTGCCCCGTGATAAGGAGGTAGAACTAGAAGTTCTACTTTGCTCTCACATATATAGCAGGACAGGACAGGACAGGACAGGACAGGAAGGGCTAGTGTCACTTCGTGACACAAATAAACAAATAAACAAATAAAACAAATAAACAAATAAATGAATAAAAGAATAAAAAGAATAAAAAGAATAAAAGAATAAAAAGAATAAAAAGAATAAAAAGAATAAAAGAATAAAAAGAATAAAAAGAATTAAAGATAAAGTTATTCTTTGCTTTTTTAATCCTTTGTTTTTTTAATTCTTTATATTAAAAGGAATAGAAGTTTACCGGTGCTAAGCATGTGTAGTGATTAGTAATACGGCTATCTAAACAAGCTAGATTAGACGAACTATAGATAGTATATTGATCCCCTTATATAATACTATAAGGAGATTAATATGCTTATACATATAATTATATAGTCAATATAGAACCCTCTTCTATTCAATCTTCTAATAGGTTATGAGATTCAGTTAATATAGCCTCTGGATAGAATTGACATAATCAATATTATATCCAATTTGTAAAATTGAAAAGTATACAGCATTACCTTATATTCAGTTTATAGAGTTGAAGAGTATACAATATTATCTTATTAATTAGTATGCGGTACTATAATCGATTATTATTATTAACTTACAAAATTGAAAAGTATATAATACTATCTATATTTATATGTTTATAATCACAAATCTATATAGCATTTATCTATACAGAAAAAGAGAAGGAAAAGGAAAAACTCCGGCAAATCTCTATACAAACATTAAAAAGGGATAATATCAAAAAATAAGCTAAGTATATCCCAATTCTTATTTAAAAGATTTATAAGAAATAGTTCTAACAATGAAAATATAATTAAAAGAAAGAATTGATTTTAT